TGTGTTTATGTTACAATTTTCTGGTAGCAGAAACTTATTTATATAGATAATATTTTCTTATAGTTAGGTTAGCGTTGAAAAAAAGATTAGCTTTATAATCAAGCCAGAAATTCGAAACTATTGCCAAATAAATATATTAAAGATGGTTGAAAATGAATTATCCCGTAATTGTTGTGAAGATCATAGTTAATATAGGAGAAAACTATACATCTAAATATTAATATAAGATATTTAAGGAACATTTTGTTTTGAAATATTATGGATAATTTGATAAATATTTTATATTTAATTCATATTTCTGATTTTTAGGTTAATTTGTTAAACCAATATACAAAATCATACATTAATGTATTTTTCCTTAAACAAATTAAGATTAATGTACTTTCCAAAACCGATATTGATGGTTTAATTTGTTAGATTTCGAAATAATATATATGGAAACTGGTATTTAATATCTTTAAATTTTTAGTAAGATCCAATTGAAAAATTTCGGGTTAATTTTTTTAAAAAACCCGACCCAAGAAACTTTTGTACTTCTCTTTTACTATAGTAGGGATTATTTTAAACACCGTGCATGTGATGTTGATTTTTTGGATATCCGCAATTTACATTTTAGAGTAAAATCAAATATAAAAGGAAAATAATGGATTTATTAATACATTAGCAAGTAAAGCTTATAATCAGAAATCATCGTTTTATGTATCTTTCTTGTTATATAACTCATAATTATGCGTAGGTAATAATTAGTATTCGGACGTTCTCTATACTAACTTTGTAATCTCTTTTTGATATCAGTGAATTTAGCAAGAAAGAAAATACTATATGCTCTTAATTACAGATATTGTAGTAAGAAATATACGAATAATATATTTATCGTGGATGATAAAAGCTAATATATTTTACTAGCAAAAAGGTAATTATTTACATTGCACTGGAATATCAAATATCACTATGTGAAAATCAAACCCAAAACAATATCATTGTATATATGGTAGGTAGTACAAGCCATATTTGAAAACATTCATTACTATTAAAAATCAATTAATTAACAATAGCATTCTACTTTGGATATACCACAAAATATGATACAAAAAATTCATAAGTATGAAATTACCTAAATAATTTAAACCGATAGATACTTCAACTAAATTTAATTAAAGCTCTAAATCATACAGATTGCAGACCTTTCAATTTTAAAATAATATTCAAACTTTTTATTCATAATTATATATAGATTTTGTTTTAATTACAAATGAGAAAAAAAGTAGGAAGCTTCGTAAGAAATAACAATAAAGTAAAAGAAGATAAAAATATTCATATGGATGATGTCCAAAGGCCATCATAGAAGAAACTAGTACACAACAGCTTAACATTGAAGAAGAAGAAAAAGTATAAACAAGTTAAAGTTAAATTTATTTATAACCAAAGGGGTCTTTGTGTTCCTTCTATTCTAATCATCCCCCTTGAATTTTCCTTTTTGTCTTAAACTATTTTTTCTCGCAAAGAAAAAAAGAAAAAAATTCCAATTTTTCTTTGTTTCAGTCCTCTCTTCTGCTCTCATTTGATCTTTTTAATTAACTTGGATTCTCTCCATTTATGGCTTAACCATTGATCGAGATAAGCCTCTCTCAGGGTTCGTATCGATTTCTTGATCTCTCTTCTCTCTCTGTTTTTTTATTTTCTTGTTATTTCTTCTTATATTCTCTTGCTTAGTTTGGTTGCTTTGATGCAGAAATCGACGAGTTCGTAACTTGTTGTTGTCTGATCTTCTAAAGATTCAACCTTTTTGGTCCGATCATGGCTGTTGCTGAGAATGCTGGTGTTAAAGTGGACTCCTCTGCTCAGAATTTAGACAACAACACTGTCGCTTCAGCTACCGAGACGAAGCCGCCATGTCCTGATGATGATCAGAGCCCTAAATCTGACTCATCGAATCCTCCTCCTAGCATTGATTCGACTGGAGAAACAGACGATCGGATCAATGAGACTGCTCAAAAGGTTCAGACTTTAAATGGGTTTAACAGAAATGGGTTCGAGTCGACGAAATCGGAGAATGGTGAGAGAGATGACAATGGAGGGAGTCTCAAGAGTGAGATCAAAGATTTGGCTGATGCGTTTTCTAAGCTTAATCCGATGGCTCAGGAGTTTGTTCCTCCTTCACTTGCTCGAAGTCAATCTGGGGTTTTGAGAAATGGATTAGGGTTTACTAACAATTTTGCTGCGCCACCTAAACTTGTTGCAGATGGGAATGATCATTTTGCTAGAAGGGTATACTATTCATCATCATCCTTAAATATTCTCTCTGAATTATGATCTCTGTGTTTTGTTTTCTGGATGGTTGTAAAGTTTGTGTTCTGCTATGTTTTTATGGACAGTCTTGATTCTTCATTTGATGTCTGCTTGCTGAGTATATAATTATTTTCTGAGGTTTGATTGTTAGCATATACGGAAGACTTTTACAACTCTAGGAAATGGATGTGTTTTGGTGTATGGATTATAAAATGTCCTTTTTAGTTTCTATATTAGTTTGTGGGTTCTGATCTTTCTGTTTCTCTAATCTTCTGTAGATTTTGATGATACAGCGAGGAGCAGTGAATTGGTGATTAAAATTTTGAGCTTTTGTTGTGTTTACCATGATTTGCTAGCTTGTTTGTTGATTGAAAAAGCTTGTATAGTGGTACATTATTCAGCAAATAAATAACAGAAAAAAAGTTTTGAGCTTTACGTGTTCTTGTGTCTATCACTTGATCATTGATACAGAAGCAGTTTCACTTTATGTGTGGGTTGTTAAACTTTCTTTGTTTACTATTTGCTTTTTCTTATCATTTACACTTAGGGAAAATGGAAAATGGCTGCCTTTGGTGGAAATTTCCATTTTTGTATGAGCTTTGAAGTTTTTGGGTTTTGACTACATAGTATATATCTTTTCTGTGGACACAACAATGGTAATAGACTATTAGCTGTGAGATGTGTGAAAGATAAGTATGCAAAACTGTATACTATGGATTAAATTCGTGTGTATATAGTAATTTGTGTGTTGCTCATTTTGCCACTTGCTACAGAGGAGGAGTTTTGGCCAGGGGAAGCGAAGAATGAACAAAAGAACAAGCTTGGCTCAAAAGGATGACGTAATCAGGAGAACTGTATATGTCTCTGACATCGACCAACAGGTAAAATGAGGGAAGCTATTTTCAATAACATTTTCTTCGTAGGGGAATCCATTTTTATGACCACTGCCTCTTTTACTTTGTTTTGTGTGTAGGTTACCGAGGAGAACCTTGCAGGTGTCTTTATTAATTGTGGACAGGTACTTGAATGATCTTTACTATGTATCAAATGATTTAATTATTTGCAAGTAACTAGTTTTCTCATATCATTTTTTTGTCATTTTGGGATCGAAAGGTTGTGGATTGTCGTGTATGCGGTGATCCAAATTCTGTCCTTCGTTTTGCTTTCATTGAATTCACCAATGAAGGTACTTTTCGCATCAACTTTTGTTTACTCTAGTTGAGAGTTTCTTAAGCAATGTTTCTTATCTAATCAAGAAATGTTGCTGCAGAGGGAGCTAGGGCTGCTTTGAGCATGTCAGGTACTGTGCTCGGGTTTTACCCTCTGAAGGTTCTTCCTTCCAAAACTGCTATTGCCCCTGTTAACCCGACTTTCCTTCCAAGAGTAAGTTCACATAATAATGACTTAATTTGGTAAAAAATCTATCAGTTTAATCATTCTTGAGCCAAATGGTGCTTTCTTTCTCTCAGTCGGAGGATGAGCGTGAGATGTGTGTGAGGACTGTTTACTGTACCAACATTGACAAGAGGGTAAGTGGACATTTCTTTGATGAGATCTTATCTTATATTTGAAACCGTTAACAGCTTATGTACTGGATAAGCTAACTCTCTTCAGTGTCCTGTTGCTTAAATTTGCAGATCACTCAAGTTGACTTGAAAGGCTTCTTTGAAATGTTTTGCGGGGAGGTATGGATTTTTTTTGGAGTGCAACGATATTTTTACGCTTTTATATGTATTATGCTCTGCAATCAATATTTTTGTTATGTATCTTTTTAGGTTCATCGTCTGAGGCTTGGAGACTTTCATCACCAAACCCGTATTGCTTTTGTTGAGTTTGCCCTGGTAATTCTCTTTGCCTAGGTTTTCAATTGAAGTGTTCCCATTATGGAGATTAGTTTTGCTGAATAGTTTCGGGGTCTAGTAAAGATTGTACTCTTTGAATTGCATGCCGGTTTGATCTAGTTAAGGAAAACTTGGGATTATCCCTTCTTAGTTACTTGATAGGTTGCATTTCTTAAAAAGCTTCTTACCATTCAAAGACTCTTCTGAGCTTCTTTGTATCTCTGATTTAGATGCATAAACTCGAATAGGAATTTACGTAAAAGGGTTCAATATTCAAAATGTGTTTTGGATTCTCAATGGAGATTCATTCATAGTTTGCTTTGTTATCTCAGGCGGAAAGTGCAATTGCTGCTCTTCACTGCAGTGGTATTCTCCTGGGGGCACTCCCAATAAGGTAAAGATTTCAACATTTTAACCTGTCCTTTCTTTCTTTTTTCTTCATCTTCTGATTCTATTTTCTTATTCTATCCGACCCCCTTAAAATGTCAACTTTTGAATGGTAGGTTGTTGTTTTAGTCATACTAAAAAGCAAACATGTCATGGATCGATAGTAATCACTTCGACTTGGCTAGCTCTTCACTTAATTCTATTTCTAGTTCATTTGCATAAAATGTGACATCTTTCTCAGTTCCATAATTGCTAGATATATTTCCATAAGCAGAGTAATAATAGAAGCAATCTCTTCAGTTGTTATTAGTATTGTCCTTGTTCTTGGGAAATATGTATTCATCTTTGTGTTGATTTATCTGTTCTTGAAGGGTAAGCCCATCAAAGACACCAGTAAGGCCGCACTTTCCCCGCGCTGATTTCAAGTGAATGTATCACGGCAAAAGAACTCTCGCCCGCGGATCTCAAAATTATATAGAAAACGAGAGAGAGAGAGAGAGATAGAAAGCTGAAGAAGAAGTCTAAAGAAGAAGGTACTTGAGGCGTTTTGTGTTTATATTATAAACTCTTATTAGATTTATCTTAAGTTTGCTTCGCGGTCGCAGAGCCTGCCTGCCCGGGTATCTTTGAACAATTCAAGATCTTTGGTCTCTAAACTTTCTCCTTTCTATAGTCTCTCCAAAACAAAACAATTGTTGTTGAAATTTACCCTTTGGATGTTTTTATGATCTATTTAAGACATTTGGAGAAATTTCCGCATTTTTAAAGTTCTTGATTTCAGTTTAGGTCTTCTCTGCTTTGTCTTGTGTTGGTGCTTTGCTTTCGTTACACCTTCTGCATCATCCATCATATGCTTTTCTGGCTATTTCTATTTGATTTTCGGTGAAAGATAAAATATTTGTCTTCTGATGACGCAGAAGGTGGTTTTTTTTAATAAGATACTATGTCTTTGCAAAAAAATTATGTAGATAAAAATATTTAGAAAAACTCAGCTATTTTCAGTTGTATTTTTCTCTTTATACATATGATTTGATTTGATGTGATAATATCGTGATTAAGGCGTTTTTAGTTTCAAAGAAAATTGTTAAAACGAAATAAAGAAGGTTTGTTGTATTCGATATTTTTCCATATGTGGGTTACGTAAACATTTACAATTCGTGATAGTATTTTAAAAATTAGGGTATATATACATTTTTTTTTTTTTTGTAGAGCTCAATCACTATCCCAAACAATCAAAGCTATAAGAGTGAATACACGAAATCATGATAAAACGAGTTAAAACAGTGACGTTAATGGTTTTTAAGAAATGATGATGAGGATGAACAACTACTTTATGCACTCTTGAGAGATGTGTGATATGCCTACTTCCAACATTGACACATTCTTTCATGTTACAATTACTATATATTTTTATTTTCTGACACAAAGCTTATTGTAAACACAAAGCATGCCTACCTATTCTTTCTTTTCACTTTCTTTATCTTTTGTTTTCGGCTTCGTTATTCTTCTTATTCCAACATTTTTCCCCTTTTCCTGCTTTTCCGAATACAATAAAGCATTATGTGACTATCCATGACCGTTAATTACATAACATGACCATGCATATATTTCTTCCAATAGTAGAAATTAATTACTAACATTGAATAGGAAATACTAAACCAACCAAATGTTAAACTAAAATTAATAATCATATAAACCATTGAACGCATCATACGATTGATATAAATCAGAGTTTCGAGTTTCACTTATTAATGCGTCTACCATAGCTAAATGCCAAAACATACATGTTCAGAACTTTATAATTTAATATAGTTGGGCAACAAAAAAGGTTCTTGTTCTTCATAAAGGAGAGTGAGTGTTCCTTTTTAACTTATATAGTCCCTCATTCCATATGTACACTATCTAAGTGACAATATATAATTGACATATATATATTGAGCAGCAGATCGATCTTGATGGGGAAAACTGGCGGAAGCACATGGTTCACGGCGGTTAAGAAAGTTTTCCGGTCGCCGGAGAAGATAATCCCTAGAAGAAAAACTCGTCGACTAGACAACAACGACCTCGTCGAAGATGAAGAGGACGAACAGCACCAACGACCGGTATATTTCTCACACTGATCATTACCCCTCTTGTTTTTTTTTCTATTTTTATCTTCGTTAATTCATACTATGGAATATATTAAATACACCAACATAACATTTACATGTAAGATTCGATAGATCCCAAAAAAAAAAAAAACACTTTTTTCTTACTCTTCAGCTTCAAGTTTGGATGGTTCAATAGAATTTTAGAAAAAAATCTCCACTGACTGTGAGAAAACCTGATTTTTTTTTTATCAACTGACTTCAAATTTGGAAATTTTGAGATTACATTTTTCTATTAATTGAAATTTGGAGTATAAATTATATATTAAATAATAATAATTTTGTTGGTGAAGATGAGAAGAAAAAGAAGATGGCTATTTAAGAAAGCTACTTCTGATCCTTCTGCAATAGACGTCGGAATGAACATAAGAAACGCCGGCAACATTAACTCGACGGCTATTGACGTGATCATTGCAGCGGCAGATGAAACTGAGAAAACTGCATTTCCGACGTCCAAGGAAGCCGTCTTTTTCTGTCGGAAGTCTGTCTACCTGAAAAGACACGTCGCTGCTATTCTCATTCAGACAGCTTTCCGAGGATGCCTGGTATATAATCCTTATTATGCTTTCAAACCACTTTGTACTTTTGTATAGTTCGTCCGGGAACTTGTATTTGGCCATAGTTACCACACAAACTTGAATGTTGAAACATCATACTCACGGTGTGTTACCGTAATGGGTTTGTTTATTATAGTTCACAAATAGATTTATCACTTTATTGACGAAACTAAAGCTTGCTTTTGATGACTTGTAACTCAAGGCACGAACGGCATTTAGGGCTTTACAAGGAGTTGTGAAACTACAAGCGCTAGTGAGAGGCCACAACGTGCGTAGACGAGCCAGCATTACTTTGCTACGTGTTCAGGCTTTGGTTCAGTTCCAGGCTCGAGCTCTAAACCACCAGAAAAAACTCACGACTAATCCAGGCGATGAAACTTCTTTGTCTCTTGCTTTCTCTAAACAGGTTCAACCAATCACACTACACCATTTTCCACTTTTGCTTTTAACTTTTCATTTTAAGTATACTAAATATACCTTTGGGGTTTACAAGATGTGGAGAACCACAGAGAGAGAAGCTCACAGTGAAAGCGAATTAGAGGACACAAGACCGAGTAGATCAAACCGGTTCGGTTATCAAGAAACCGGAAGGAGAATGTCAACCGATCAGGCTCTCGTTGAACCGGTCAAGATAGTTGAGATCGATACGTATAATATTAATACGTACTCACTCAAAGACAAGACGCCAAGTAGGAAGTCTTGCGTCACACGGCAAGTCCATTCAATACCAAATTACATGTCTAACACGGCCTCAACAGCGGCTAGATTCCACCGGCCACAAAGCGTACCAAAGGAGAGATCAAACCGCACCGGTTTAGATAACAACGAACCAAGATTACAGTTGATTAGAAAGCGATTATCATTTCACAATCCACAATCACACGGTTATAATGCTGGTAATGATTACTTTTGGTACGACTATTGAACCGAATCGGTTATGTGCAGCCGATTGAACCAATTATTCAAATCAAAGATATTTTATTTTATACTATATATATTGGACCCAAGATTTATTATTTCTCTAATATTGCACCAAACAATTACAAATCTAGACTTGTTCTTCAATGCTATCAAAAAAACCAACGTGACTAATGACTATTTCGATGTCAACCATATTATTCAAACGTCCGCAGTTTTGGACAAAACCGATGGTTGAATGCGTACCAAGTGTATTTAAACCGATGGTTGCCGTGTTTATTTTGTTATCCAAACTCTAATTTGGTGTCAAATTCTTCAAAACCTTTCTCAATTTTCAACGGTAAAATAGAGAATTTTATATATTTTCTATAGTTAAAAGATTTTGAAGTCATTATTCTATTTCAAAAATGATTCATTTTAGAATTCCATTGTATTTTGATGATACCAACTACAAAGAATTGGAGTTAAATGCGAAAAACACAACTGAATCAAAGTAATGATCTTCACCTATATATAAATTAAATAACTTATCCAAAATCGAGAAAATAATCTGAAATTTAAAATATTATTACTTTTAATTTGATAATACCAATTAAAAAGAATTATAACAATTTAATTGTCTGTAAATCACTTTAAAATATTAAATTTCCAGCTTAAATATAAAAATTAAAAAATCAGAGACAACAACACATAAATGAAATCATTAATCACACGTCACTAAACTCACGTGGCTATCGTAGTAATCACGTTTCTTACGCTGTCGTTTTAGCAAACCACCGGCATTTTTCAACACACCCCTTCTCTTCTTCTTCCGTTATAATGTTTTTTTCGCTTTATTTTTTATTTTTAAAAATTAATTTATTTTATTTTAATTCTTCGCCTCACTTTTTTTTTTCTCCAGCGGTCATTCAAACATCATTATTTTTTTTTGTTTGATGATCTCTGAAACCTTTACTACTCAACTTCGTCTCCTCACCGTCCGATGTATTGACTTTATTTTCACCGATCAAAACTAAACTTTGACTTTCAAACAATCCGGCGACGATGGGTCACTGTTACAGCCGGAACATTTCCACCGTCGACGATGACGGCGAGATCCCCGCCGGAACAGCTCAGTTACCTCGTCGTTCTAATGCCAACCACCACCAGACGACTTCATCGTCTATTCCCCAGTCTCCGGCTGCTTCGGAAGTCAACCCTTACACAATCAGCCCATTCCAAAGCCCGTTACCGGCGGGAGTAGCTCCGTCTCCGGCGAGAACTCCGGGAAGAAAATTCAAATGGCCGTTCCCGCCTCCTTCACCTGCGAAACCAATTATGGCGGCTCTGAGACGGCGACGAGGTGCAGCACCACAGCCGCGAGACGGTCCGATCCCTGAAGATAGCGAAGAAGTCGATCACGGTAGAGCCGGAGGTAGCGGTGGCGGAGTCGGAGGGAGGTTGGATAAGAATTTTGGATTTGCTAAGAATTTTGAAAGCAAGTATGAGCTTGGGAAAGAGGTGGGTCGAGGGCATTTTGGTCATACTTGTTGGGCTAAAGCAAAGAAAGGCAAGATCAAAGGTCAAGCTGTTGCTGTCAAAATCATCTCTAAATCTAAGGTTTGTTACAATGTGGATCGATTCCAAGGTTACTGGAACATATATAACAATTGTTACTGTTTCATGTTCTTGTCTTGTTCCTTGATATACAATGTGTTGATATTGTGTTTCAGATGACATCAGCTTTATCGATTGAAGATGTTCGTCGAGAGGTGAAGTTGTTGAAAGCTTTGTCTGGGCATAGTCATATGGTTAAGTTCTACGATGTGTTTGAGGATGATGATAATGTCTTTGTTGTTATGGAGTAAGTATGTCTCTCTTTCATGCTTCCCTGTGTATAACTATTGTGTATGAACAGTATAGTTGTAATAGTACCAGTAGTATGAGAAAGTTTAGGAAGTGAGTTGACTTAGGATACTGACTCAATTTGATTCCAGGTTATGTGAAGGTGGGGAGCTATTGGACAGAATTTTGGCAAGGTAGTCTCAAAACTAGTCTTTCCTCTGTTTTTATATTTTGGCCTACTCAAGATAATTAGTTAGCTTTGTGTTGTATATATAGTTAATTAATCGTGTACCGTCTATATATATCTTACTACAGAGGTGGTCGATACCCGGAAGCAGATGCTAAGCGTATTCTTGTGCAGATTTTATCCGCAACTGCTTTCTTCCATCTTCAAGGTATTGTGCACCGTGATCTGAAACCGGAGGTACACATTCTGTTTCTACCAGTTTGAATAAATCATGAGTATGTAGATGTTGTTTCTTGACAAATATTGTACGGTTGTATCCAGAATTTTCTCTTTACCAGCAAAAGTGAGGATGCAGTACTCAAGGTTATAGATTTCGGCTTGTCTGATTTCGCTAGATTCGGTAATGATCTTTTTCTTTGTTCTTCTTTCTTATACATGACTCTGCCTAGTAGAATTTTATGTAGCCACTTAATGTCTGAATGTTTTGTGGTGGTCTTTAATCAGATCAACGTCTCAACGATGTGGTAGGGAGTGCATACTATGTTGCACCTGAAGTACTCCACAGATCCTATAGCACTGAGGCTGATATATGGAGCATTGGTGTCATATCTTACATATTACTCTGTGGAAGTAGACCATTTTACGGAAGAACCGAGTCTGCTATTTTTCGTTGTGTTCTTAGAGCAAATCCGAATTTCGAAGATTTGCCCTGGCCTTCAATATCTCCTATTGCCAAAGACTTCGTGAAAAGGCTTTTGAACAAAGACCACAGGAAAAGAATGACAGCTTCTCAAGCTTTAGGTAAGTACCTAACAACTAGTGTTAAATTTAGTGATATTGATTGGTGAAACTTAAAGATGAGTATGATTAAATTTGCAGCTCATCCATGGCTTCGAGATGAAAACCCTGGTTTACTTCTAGATTTCTCTGTCTACAAATTGGTGAAGTCTTATATTCGAGCATCGCCTTTCAGACGAGCAGCACTTAAGGTGATTCTCTAATAATAAAATAGTTCTAACATGAAGTTTACCCTTGCAAATATGATAGCATATATGAAAATAAAATAGATCAGATCCATTTGTTACCAAAGTCACTCAGATCTTGTCAAGAGTTTAACAGTTCCCTTAAGATTATAATCACATTTTTCAAAAAAATAAGTAAAAGAATACACTGACATGCATGGCAACATATTTCACTAGTTTTTTTGTTCCTAAATGTTATCTTTATTTTGCTGTTACTTGTACCACAGTCTCTATCGAAAGCTATACCCGAAGAAGAACTCGTGTTCCTTAAAACACAGTTTATGCTTCTGGACCCAGAAGATGGAGGCCTGTATCTTCACAATTTCACTACGGTCAGTGGGTGATTTCCACACTCATCTTCACTGGTCTAACAATAGCTTTAGTACCACTGTTCTTCAATTTATAAATCCGACAGTCTTCTTATCTTGTGGTAACTGCAGGCTCTGACAAGATATGCTACGGATGCTATGATCGAATCTAGGCTTCCTGACATTTTAAACTTGGTACATATCAACACATCTTCGTAGCATTTCTGGTCTATGCTAAAACTACATATGTAATACTCTTTTTCTGTGTGTTCACTGAAGATGCAACCCTTGGCACATAGAAAACTTGATTTTGAAGAGTTTTGTGCTGCTGCGGTCAGCGTTTATCAACTTGAGGCTCTTGAAGAATGGGAACAGATCGCAACGATAGCCTTTGACCACTTTGAACGTGAAGGAAGCAGAGCCATTTCTGTCCAAGAACTCGCCGAGGTATGTAGGGACTTCAATATATCTCTGAGAGTGAGATCTTATGAAACCAATATCTTTTGCATGAATTTTGAGTTGTTACGGCATATGCAGGAGATGAGTTTGGGACCAAATGCGTATCCTCTGCTTAATGATTGGATCCGAAGTTCAGATGGGAAGCTGAATTTCTTAGGCTATGCCAAGTTCTTGCACGGTGTGACTGTTCGTAGCTCGAGCTCGAGGCCGACGAGGTGACTTCTAACTTTGCAGAATCAGTCCCTAATCGTATAAAACATGAATTATAATTATACTGTCGATTCCAGAGGAACCCATTCTAAAGCCAAACAAACAAAAAGGAAGATTATTTTGTACTATATTATTAAGCATTTCTTTTTGTATTTAAATTCCGGTTTGTATAGGAAGAATTGGTTGAGCTGTTGTTGTGGTTCGGTTCTGGTTTTGTTTCCCCTGAGCAATCGTATTGTTTCTCTATTGGAGGTGTAATAAATCGAGATCTAGATACAGTAAAAAATTTCTGTGCTAATTCAACAATTAACATCACTGTGGGTGCAATAAACCACTATATTATGATTAGCTGAAAGTAATTAGAATTAAAGGGAACTTATGGCTAGGTTCTCGAAAAAGATCTAAGGGCATCCTTATTGCCCAATAAGGATAGTCTAAGAATATCGAACTCAAACATGAAATTGACTGGAATTATCGTACATTGAACGGTGTGTTACAAGAATTACTCCTCTTATTTATACTATCTACTTGATACTATTTCTTCCGTTAGCTAGATCCTCAGATTGTCTTCGATTTCTTCAACTATATCTCCGAGATCTTCTCCTTCTCCTGCTTGTTAACGTAACCAACCGGCTAGGCCTCCGATAGTACCAGCCCAAGGCCGATTACAGCTCTAAACATATCGTCTTTAGTGGGCTGTTGCTTAATGGACTTTTAATCGTTGAAACTCAGTACCAACGATCACTATCCTCTTTTCAAAAAAAATTTGATTTTGTTTCGGAAGAATGTGATTTGTACATAGTATAAGCTGATAACGCCGCACATCAATAAATAAATTTAGAGTTTAGATTATATTTGGAAATTTATAGAACAATACTGATTAAATTAAAGTTTGAGTGAAATGGTTTATTACCATTTACCACACAATCATTTTACTTTCTTATTTTCTTATTACATGAAGTCATGGTAAAAGTTTGTTGTAGGAAAATTAGTAAATATAGTTTAATATAAGATCATTTTTTGGCAATTTATTTATAAAATAAAAGTAGTTACAAAATAAGAAGAGCAATTATGAAAAAAGAATAACTACAGTCAACTTCCCATATATAATAACTTTTGCTAATATACAATTTCCTTTTGAAGGCTTGATATTGGGCTTGAACTCATCTTCGGCCCATAAAGAGTAGCTGATGATTTGAAACCCAAAACAAAGCTTTTAATCATCATCATATAGCATATTTTATCCGCAGACACATTAACAGATCTACTAACCCTAATCTTGCCCCTTTTTTTCTGATCGAGATCAGGTTTCTCGATCATCAGTCCATTAAAAAATTAAAACAAAAACCATGTTGCTCGGCGGTAAAGATCCCTACTTTGTTTGTTGTCATAGTAGATCGATCTAAATCCTTTTGCAATACTCAGATCTGATGTTTCTAGTCTCCATTTCGTAACAGCTAGCTCTTAATGTTTTGTTTTCAATGTTTTGGGCAGGGGTTCCGACAGGTGTGTTCTGGGACACTGTGGATTGCAAGATTAGTGATGACCGCAGTGTTGCTGAGGTTACGCAGAACATCAAAAAGAAACTCACGGAAGTTGGTATCGACGGTACGGATGTCGTCTCAATCAGGGCTTATGGTGATGATGATGATGATGGGAAAGATCATGACTTTAACTCCGCCGGGGTATCTTTCACTCACTCTCCCGCAGGTGAGAGAGATGCGAGGCATGATCAAATATTTTCTGACGTTTTTTCGTGGGTAAAAGAGAACCCTGCGCCGGCAAACTTGGTGCTTTTCATGGACATGGGAGACCCTACTGATGAATTCGAAAGTATTGTGATTTATCTCTTGATGAAGTCGAACTACAGATATCTCTTAGGCTTAGAACTCCCCTGAGAAAATAATTGCTCATGACATTTGGAAACTACATCTTTCTAGTATCTCTCAAGTATCGCAAGTAGAATGGTATAAAAAAACTAGCTAGTGTGTGTGTGTATTGCGAGTTGAATGAACTAATGTATCTGTTGTGTAATAGTATTAATGTCAGATGTTATTGTATTGTCTGATGCTTGATAATTTTATCTTTAAACAACCTACTTATAGTATTCATGACGATATATAATCCCAACATACAGTTCCAGCTGTGAACATCTACGCTATGTACAACAGACTTGGGGACTAAGGCAATGTAAAAGAGTGTAATCCGAACATACAAGTTAAATCTTCTGGTTTTCCACAATTTGTTCTTTTCAGTTTCTAGGAATGGGACTGGACGGTCTCATGGGCGTCTTTACTCCAAGGACATGATCAAGTCAATGAGTAACTGAAATGGGTCACATAGATGACCGAGATTCACCTAATCCGCCACCAAAAATGATCACGTTCACGTCCTCGGTTATTAATTTTGATTCTTAGAAATGGTATGGCCGTATGTGTCGTGGTCAAGAACATGTTGATTCGGTTGCGGCTGCTCTTAAGCATACCAAGGAATTTACCAGCTGGTAGACTAACCGCGGATGTTGTAGTTGTGTTGGTTCCTTCCTTGACCAAGCGCTGCTGCGTCTAAGACTAAACTCCCTCATGGCTATTATGTAAGTATTATACTTTAATGTATTCGAATCAGTTGATTATTTGGTTTACAAATATTTCAGGTGTTTTTGACTCTTGAGACGTACGTGCTCGTAAATTCAGAGCCTTTACAAATATATAACCAAATAGTGAAAATATTAAACATCGAAACAAGTAACGAAGGTGTTGTTAAATGAACATGTTATGTGAGACACTATGATTGTGTCCGCATCATGAAAGGATACGAGTAGACAAAAGCGAGAACACGAATCTAATTCACATGATGGATGGATCACATTATACATTATCTATCTACGTTTTAGTGTTATGGAATCTACGAATAATTCTCAAATACATTACTCCAACATATATAAAGTAACATGTCATTTTCGTATCTTCTGTTCTTTTCTAAAATTTATAAAATTTTGTATCTATTTTTTTTTTTTAAATGTTTATGAATTGAATATATTTTCTTTCACCAATGGTAGTTCATTGAGTAACTCTCACGAATATTGATAATGTAAATATGTAATGTTTCGATTAAAAAGTAGTAGCCTCTCATTCTCTCAATATTGGTTTGCTTAACCAAAAGAAAATTCGTTTCTTGGTATAAGCATATTCTTTCTTTTTCTAGTTTTCCATTTAAAAAGCAAAATTCGACATCCATTTCTTGGCAAATTGCAACATTAGTGATAAGGTTTTTATTTGTTTTCCATGTCAACAACATTATTAGTAATACAGTTACATTCAGACGAAGCAATTAATAAAGTATCGTATAATAATACGTTACTTTCCTTTTTAATAAAGCAACGAATCTATCTTTTGGTATTTTTATCTTTTCCCACTAAACTAACATATCCACACAACATTGAATTCACCAATCACCGATATTTCGAATTTAGCTAAACACTTCCTTATATCTAATTAATTATTACCATCTGTGTTTTTAGTTGTTTTTAACATCAGATCGTCATCAGCAAAAGGAATCTTTTGAATTTTGTTAAAAAAATATCGTCATAGTGAGTCGATGGTAAATAATTATATTTAAATAAATTTATAACAAATAAATGGTAAACAAATAAAACAACACAATACATATATAAACTATGTATATTATATACTCCTATATATAACTTTTAAGATGGTCTATTAAATGTTTTTTTTTCTAATAAGTTTAGTATTTGTGAAAAACTGAGGATGTTGTTCAAAAACAATAATTAAGCAAATTTATAGTCATTCGACATGATTATGTTTGTTGTAATATTAAGACATAAATGATCTTCAACAACTAATTTAGCAAATCTGATAAAAGTTTTACAATTGAGACCATATATAGTTACAATTCACGATGACTCCACCATAGAAGATAATGATAACAAAAGGATTATTAATATAATTTTCTAAGGTTATAATTAAAGAACATATCAACATCCATTTGCCGGTTGGATGACGTACGAATATATGTTTTTTAATGCAAATAATAAAAATGGTCGAATAGGTCAGACACACATATATACATTTTAAACCAGTAATTAAATTTAATTTAAAATTTTCTAATATAGGTTTTAGTCATTTCAATTTGGTTAGACGTATAGCCCAAAATGTCATAATCTTCGGTGATAGCTAATTGCACTACACATAATTAATTACACGTTTTATCCATGGATTTTTACCATCGATTATATTATTATTGTAATAGTGACAATCACATTTTTGCTTCTTTTTACCTTCTTTGAAATATTTTTGTCAGACAACAAATAATAATACATCCGACTGCTTTTGTTGACCAGACTATTATATTTTCTAATATATAGGTATGTATTGTTTTTCTCCTTCTTTTTTTTTTGTTCTATTTATTATTTCTCTTATAATCATAGAGATTCTCAAATATCCTTGATATTATAAGTATAAAAATGAATATCCTCTATTTTTCCTTGATATTATAAGTATAAAATTGAGTCAATAGTATAGTTTAATTATAAGCTTGCCCATTTCAAAAATAAATAATTAGCAACACTAATACACTCTGTTACACTACTTTCAATTGTTGTTAAAGTCATTTTGGTTACAAGAATCCACAGATATCAAACTCAAAACCAAAATCAGAAACCGGATCCAACATTTGGTATATACCCGAACAGTGGAATAATTATGTGATACTTTGCATCTGGGGATATTCCCAAACCTAATCCGAGTTGTTCACGAGTCATATCATTGATCCTTATTAAAATAAACAAAATAAATCCTTTCTTTGTTTGTATTTGATACATGTTAGCTTCATCCATATCTTATACTAGGGCACTGCATCAACTGTTTCGATTCAATAAGACAAAATTATTACCAGAAAACAGGAGACACATAAAAGCAATAAACAAAAATTATTAGAAATTGGTAATTTGGTATAGCTAAACTAGATTAATCATAACTAAGAACCAATCTAACCATTTTCATGATTACATTACATAGTTGTTCGATTTGTTTTATTATACAAACAGAAAACATAAAATACATAACAACCTTTACTATGTATTAACAAAACTGTTATGTACCTCAATTCCTAAACAACAATAACATAATTTATAGTATGAAACAAAAATAATGTTTTTTTTTCTTTGTTGTTGTAGTAAATAATTAATCCCATGTGCTTGGATTTGGTCGGTTGAAAACATGGAAATTATTTCATACCATTATCTCAAAGATCGGTTTACAATCTACCGAACATTAGTTTAATTCTTTCAACTCGTACTAAACTAATACACGATTAATTTACAATTTGAGCTGATATTTTTCCCTTTTTAATTAAAATCTTTTAAAACAAAATTTTAACCTACAAACAAACATGAGAAATGTTGTTCTTATTGTTATCGATGAAATGATAAATAAAATTACATATATGGATTATGTAATGGACAAATCTAAATAATATTGTAAGAGATGTAAGTATAGGGGTTAAAACATAATAACAAAACAATGGGAGGTGGAAGTACAATATAAGCGAGAGAAAAGGGATTAAAACGTAAATAAAAGGTTTCAGAGTTCGTGAGAGAGAGAGAAACTAAAAAGTCACCCATTAAAGCCTTCTCTCTCTCATCAGTCGCATTACTCTTGAAGACTTTTTTTTTGTTTTTGTTTTTGTTTTTGCTCATTAGATAGATTCTTACAGAGAAATTTACAAATAATCCCCACGTTTCTTCTATTGAGAGGAAACATCAAAAGTAAACGAAGACGAAGACGACGAAGCAAGCAAACAAGTTCTGGAAGAAGACGGACGCGGTTAAAGATTGTTATTTGAATTTAACTTGGATCGAGTCTCCGGCGAAGTCGGAGGAGAGTTATTGTTTGAACATCGCCGGAGATTTGAAGTTATCGTCTGTTTCAAGGTATTGTCGAATTGAAAAAAGGAATATTCGCGGGTTTGATTAGGTTTTTCAAAATCTGTGTGGGAGAAGAGATTTGTGATAGATGAAAGCTTTGAGAAGGATTCAAACGACGTCTTCGTCTTCTAATCCTTCATCGCCATTATCATCTCCTCCTACTTCGTCGTCGTCGTCTTCGTGGATCCATTTGCGTTCTGCTCTCTTCGTTGTTGCTTCTTCTTCTCCTGCTGCTTGTTCTTCTTCTTCTTCCGATCGGTTAGATCTCTCCCTCTCTGTGAATTTGAATTTGACTTCGTCTCTTCTTGATAAATGTGATTCCTTTATCTTTATTGTTAGAGTTCAATTGAATCCAAAGCTCAAATTTTTATATGTATATAGTATGAATGGATCTCATTTTGGTTATTATTTCTATTTGATTCATTTGAAATATTCAGCTGAATTTGAGTAGGCTGGTCTGTAGTAGTAGTACATTTAAAGCTCCATGGCTATTTCTGGATATGTTTTACTATTTTTATCGTCTTTTAAGAACAAACTAGGCACATAGTAACCTCTGTTTTCCAATCAGGGCTCGACTTAAATCACCATGGTCCCGGAGGAAGAGGAAAAGGCCACTCAGACCTAAGCAGTGGAAGAGATTCTTTACGCCAGACGGTAGACTGCGGAATGGAGGAGTGGATTTATTGAAAAAAGTTCGAAGTAGAGTGAGTCACACACAGCTCCATGGACCAAGTTCACAGTCACAACCATTTGTGGGTTGTTGATTTTTTAAGAATGTTTATTTTTCTCTTCATTTCTTTGTAGGGTATTGAGCCGAGCATTCGGCTGGAGGTGTGGCCGTTCCTTCTTGGAGTGTAAGTTTACTGTCAAAAACTCTATTTAGGTGAATCATATTGCCACACTGGCATCTATGAAGAGTAGTTGTTTAACTACATTTGGCATAGGGAAGCTAGTTTCATTTGCCTCTTTTGTTGTGTTTGCTGATTTTACTTTACTACAAACAGGTACGGTTTTGATAGTTCAAAAGAAGAGAGAGTCACTATAAGAAATCGGAGAAGGTGAGTGAGAGAGACTGATTGAATTACTAAATGGGAAAGTTTTGTACTTTTAACTCTCTAGCTCATCTGTTTTGATTTTTACAAATGCAGAAAGGAGTATGAGAGACTACGCAGGCAGTGCAAACGGCTTCAAAAACACAATAACGGGACTAATAAGTTAAACAGGGGGAGTGATGCTATCCAAGATGACTACGATTGGCCTCAAGTGCAAGACACTGACAGTACATGTTCTGATGAAGTCGTCAGTGCCCGCGAGTCTCTCTCAAGTGATGAAGACATCACTGAAGATATCGGGTACATGAGTGAAGTTTCGTGTACAGTTGAGAGAGACGGCAGTAGTTCAAGGCGAATCACCAATGCTACTATCTCTACACTCAATTCCGAGTCATCAGATTCAGATTCTTCAGATGAGAGTGAAGTGGTACAGGTCTTTCAGTCTTCTGGTACTCCGGATGTGAATACCTATCCAGCCAACTCAAGTATTCCCCGGACAGAAGAGGATTTCGTGACGTGGCAGCGTATTATCCGTCTAGATGCAGTGCGCGCTAACTCAGAGTGGACCCCCTATTCTCCATCCCAGGCAGTTATATCCGAGGACAGAGCATGTCGTGCCGCCGAAGCAGTTGGGTTAAAAGATTATAGTCACTTGGAACCGTATAAAATATTTCAGGCTGCACGGCTTGTTGCTGTTCTTGAAGCATACGCTTTGTATGACCCTGACATTGGATATTGCCAAGGAATGAGCGATCTTCTCTCTCCGATACTCTCTGTAATCCCTGACGACCATGAAGTCTTTTGGTGCTTCGTCGGGTTCATGAAGAAAGCCCGCCACAATTTCAGACTGGACGAGGTTGGAATCAGAAGACAACTCAACATAGTCTCAAAGATAATCAAATCCAAAGACTCTCAGCTTTACAGGCACCTAGAGAAACTCCAAGCTGAAGACTGTTTCTTTGTATACAGAATGGTCGTAGTGATGTTCAGAAGAGAGCTAACACTTGACCAGACACTCTGTCTATGGGAAGTGATGTGGGCAGATCAAGCCGCGATCAGAGCCGGGATGGGGAAATCTGCGTGGAGCAGGATAAGGCAGCGTGCACCTCCAACGGATGATTTGGTGCTCTATGCAATAGCAGCCTCGGTGTTGCAAAGAAGGAAACTTATAATAGAGAGATATAACAGCATGGATGAGATTCTAAGGGAGTGTCATAGTATGGCAGGACAATTAGATGTGTGGAAGCTCCTGGATGATGCACATGACCTCGTCGTGACTCTACACACCAAGATTGAACATTCATTTTCATAAATTTTGATCTCTGTTTTCTTCTGCGGGTTTGGGGGATCCCGCGACTTGTCTAAAATGGTTCCGTGCAGGCCCGAATTGGGCCGTGAGCTCTAGCTGTGAATCCTGGCCGAAAGAAATGAGGCTAGAGATTGAAATGAGTTGTGGTGAAAAAGAAGAGGTGGTGTGTATTTAATTAAAAATAAGTGTATGTGTGTGTGTTGTGAAGACTGTGAAAATGAAGAGGGTCGAGGAGGGTTTTCTAAATTCCACAGGGAAGAGAGATATTCTTTACTTGAAAATATATGCATATGGAAACAAAGCTGTGCAAAGTTGTTGGTTTCACAAGAATGTGTGTGTGTTTCCATGAGTAGGTGGAATATTATTAAACCAGTGGGGAGAATCTTAAACCGGGTTAAAGAAAAAATATGAATGGGAAACAAGGCATGTTGAGTTGACCGTAATTAGTCTAATTACACATGTGATGACATCTTACTTCTAATCAGCAAGTAAGAGCAGAACTAAAATATTTGATACTTTTTCTTTTGAAATAGAGATTTTGTATCATTTTAATTTGGGTTACTTAAGTGTTATTTGTTTTTTTTCTAAAAGTTTGCAATTCCAAAAAAAAAAGTCGACTTAATTAATATTTATTGGAAAAACGTATGAATAATGTTGTTGTTGAAAAAATACATATTTTTTTTTATAATTGAAATAAAATTTATGTTTTTTTTTTTTTTTCCTTTTTTACATTTTTTTGGTATGGTTTTCAATTTTCCATTTTCTCCGGATAGCCAATAGTATTGACTCAGTAGTCAGTACCATTACCCAAATCATCAAAAATTGTTAGTTTTCTTTACATGTGGTGAATAAAAATGAAAAAATTATATATCAATTTTAACCCTTTTGTAAATTCAAAATTGAAATTCGTCTTTTATAGTGGTGAATAAGGAGACAAGCTTATATTAAAGTGGAGAAACTATACCGACCACTAATCTTAAATTTTAACCAGCTGATACCTCCGGTTCTTTGGTTCTTTTGGATCGTGCATTATCAGCTGGTTTCTTTATGTTTTTTTTTTTCTTAATAAATATTGGTTCTTATTACGTATATGTTTTATGTTTTATTTAAGCTTTACCCCTTCGATAAATTGCATGTTAATTTTAGCTTACCCCCAAAAAACGTTTGCAGATTGCGCTATGACGGACCTATCAAAATTAGGCGTGCAGGAAAATATACGTAATCTGAATATTGACCATTTACTTTACTTCGTAGCGTGTAGATAATTTATCAAAACTTCGTACGTTAACAACTATTCAAACATAAAATATGTTACTAGACGTAATTACGTATACGCGCTTCGGAATCTCTATATAACACCACCTTCCCATACTCCTTTCTTGGCAACAAAGTCATATAAACCTAAAACAAACACTTATAGTAATACATTTTACTCTCTAGCAGTACAAAAATGGCTTCGATCATTTTCTTGATTCTAGCCATTCTTCTGTGTTCAAGAACTTCGGGAGCCACATCTCGTGGTGGGGGACTCTTTGAAGCTTCTGCCGTTGAGAAACATGAGCAGTGGATGTCTCGGTTCCATCGCGTTTACTCGCACGATGCTGAGAAAGCGAGTAGGTTTGAGATCTTTAAGAAGAACTTAAAGTTCGTCGAGAGCTTCAACATGAATGCGAACAAGACGTACAAGTTGGATGTCAACAAGTTCTCTGATCTCACCGACGAGGAATTCAAGGCGAGGTACATGGGGCTGCTGGTGCCGGAAGCTACTTCATCACTCGATTCTTACAACACGGTGTCATTTACACATGAAAATGTTACTGAAACCGGTGAGAGCATGGATTGGAGACAGGAAGGGGCCGTTACACCCGTTAAGAACCAAGGCCAATGTGGTATGTGGTTTATAAAAAACTAGTGTGACATACTGTAAAATAGCAAGATTACGGATCAAAACTGCATCATACTTTTTAAGTAGATACATACGAACCAATTTATATTATTCTTAAAACACATGCATAAATGAACCAATTTATTACATATTTTCATGAGTTTCTATCAAATAAATGATTATCAATGTATATGAAATTTACTACTATTACACTAAAAATATATTAAACTCTTTTTTTTTTTAATTGAAATGGAACAGGATGTTGTTGGGCTTTCTCGGCAGTGGCCGCAGTGGAAGGCATTACGAAGATTTCGAAAGGAGAGCTTGTGTCGCTGTCCGAACAACAACTGTTGGATTGCAACACTGAGAACACCGGATGTGGCGGAGGGTATTTGTGGAAGGCTTTCAAGTACATTATAAACAACCAAGGAATCACCACAGAGGATAGCTATCCTTACCAGACATCACAACAAACGTGTTACTCAACTCGTTCCGTAGCTGCAACCATAAGCGCTTACGAGACGGTTCCTCAAAATGACGAAGAAGCATTGCTAAAAGCGGTGTCTCAACAGCCTGTTTCCGTTGGCATAGATGGGTCAGGAGCTGCGTTTAAGCAATACTCTGGTGGGATATTCGACGGAGAGTACTGCGGGACGTACCAGACTCATGCTGTTACAGTTGTTGGTTATGGTACGAGTGAAGAAGGGATTAAGTATTGGTTGTTGAAGAACTCATGGGGAGAACAATGGGGAGAAAATGGTTACATGAGAATCAAGAGAGACGTAGATGCACCTGAAGGAGCCTGTGGTTTGGCCCAATATGCTATATATCCACTTGCTTGAAATCTTTTTTATATGGGTTTGTTCAGAATACTGAAAAATATATAATCTTTTATCAATAATTGGCCTTTTTGCAGCCGCATGATATTGTATGTTTTGGAAATTTTCGTTTATATATGTATGTCAGTTTGTGTAAGCATGTATTACATTGGTGTATTAAATATAAAGTTTTTTTATTTATGGCATTTTGATCTCCGCCAAACCGCGCGAAACATTATTCGAAACCCGCAAGGGCGCATGTCGCCGGATCTATGTGTAGTATTTTATATTTTATATCAAATCCAGTTAATAGGTCTCGCGCAGTCCTCAAGAGCGTGTATTTCAGTAACCTGTGGACAGGGACAGCCACTGTCGTCGGTGCCACGTTACTATTGCGCATATGTACGCCTCTGGCCACCTCCGTTATCATGTCCTTTTAAAAACACTCACAAATCCAACGGTTGTTTCTTCAAAAGGAAAAAAAAAACTGATATAAATTTGCATGAATGTACATTTTATATGGCATCATAAAGATAACATAATTTAGAAAACAAAAATTCTTTTCATAGCACTGAAATGTGTGAATGTGTTATCATGTAATTTAATTATCGTCTCCTAAAAAATTTTACAAAAATGTTTACAATAAAGGTTTCAGCTAATCACAGTACAGACTTGATCCAGGCTCGTTACATGATTAGTTTCAAATGTTTTTTTTTATTTATTTATTTTTTTTTTTATTTTTTTTATTTTAACGATTTTTGTTTTCTTCATAAAAAGACATTTTTGGAGAGAACGAGATGCTAAATATACGGTTCTCCGGATTCTCTTGATAAACCCCGTACCTTGCTTCCCGCTTGTAACGGCACCGATCGTATTACTTGGGTTATTGCTTGGAGGAGTCTAGGCTCTACGAGAAGAAACATCAAAATGTTTGAAATGTCCAACGAGATTATTTATGTTTCAAAATGAAAAATGACCACTAATCTTAAATTTTAAGCAGCTGGTTCTTTGGTTCTTTGGATTGGATCGTGCATATTTTTCCAACAATTTTTAGGATAAAAGGTACAGCTAATCACACTACAAACTTAATCCAGCCTAGTTTATTAGCATGATCAGTTTTGATTAGAAAATATTTTTATATAAGCTAATCATACTACAAAATGTTTTATACGGTATAAATCCCAAAAAAACATTTGCAGATTGCGCTAACGGGACCAAACACAATTAGGCGTGTAGGAAAAATACGAAATTACTTGACTTGGTAGCGTGTATATAATTTATAGCAACGAGAAAATATTATTCTCACGTAAAACCTCGTACGGCAAAGACTATTCAAACATATAATATGTTACTCCTCTATACGTAATTACGTATACGCGCTTCAGAATCTCTATATAACACCACCTTCTCATACTCCTTTCTTGGCAACAAAGTCATATAAACCTAAACAAACACTTATAGCAAAACATATCATATACATTTTACTCTCTACTCTCTAGTAGTTTAGTAAAATGGCTTCGGTCATGTTCTTGATCCTAGCCATTCTTTTGTGTTCAAGAACTTCGGGAGCCACATCTCGTGGTGGTGGGCTCTTTGAAGCTTCTGCCGTTGAGAAACATGAGCAGTGGATGTCTCGGTTCCATCGTGTTTACGCGCACGATGCTGAGAAGGCGAGTAGGTTTGAGATCTTTAAGAAGAACTTAAAGTTCGTCGAGAGCTTCAACATGAATACGAACAAGACGTACAAGTTGGATGTTAACAAGTTCTCTGATCTCACCGACGAGGAATTCAAGGCGAGGTACATGGGAATGGTGGTGCCCGAAGGTATGACCGGAAAATCGCAAGAAACGGTGTCGTTTAGATACGAAAATGTCAGTGAAACTGGTGAGAGCAAGGATTGGAGACAAGAAGGGGCCGTTACACCCATTAAGGACCAAGGCCAATGTGGTAACTAATTCATTATCGTAACTCTTTATTTTTTTAGCAACATGCATTTTCTTCATTTATATATATGTTTACTCTGTTTGTTTAATTCAAGAGGAAATAAAAAAATTGGTATTTTTGCTAGATATATAATCATTTAAGGTGCAAAAATTGGTCCTTAAAAAAAGAGTGAAAAAGTGAAAAAAACTAGAAATAAATGAGTTTTTGTACGTGTGGTTTAAATAATGAGTGTGACATGTAAAATAGTGATTAATAATAAAAATTTGCTTACGATATTTAATGATTGTTTTTGCAAATAAATGACTATCAAAAATATGAAATCCAGTTCTACGTAACAAAGATGAACATGATGATGTATACATTAAAAATAAAGTTTATTGAAACATGGAACAGGATGTTGTTGGGCTTTCGCGGCTGTGGCGGCAGTGGAAGCTGTAACAAAAATTGCGAATGGAGAGCTTGTATCGCTTTCCGAGCAGCAACTACTGGATTGCAGCATAGGCGACAACAACATGGGATGTGACGGAGGGTCATCTTTGACAGCTTACGACTACATAAAGGACAACCAAGGAATCACTAGGGAGGAAAACTATCCTTACCAGGCATCACAACAAACCTGCCAGACAACTGTTCCAGCTGCTGCTACCATAAGGGGATACGAGGCGGTTCCAAAAGATGATGAGGAAGCATTGCTAAAAGCGGTGTCTCAACAGCCAGTTTCTGTGGGGATAGTTGGGTCAGGAGATGCTTTTAAGCACTACTCCAGCGGGATATTCGAGGATGAGGGCTGTGGGACGGATTCTCATCATGCAGTTACGATTGTTGGTTATGGTACGAGCGAAGAAGGGATTAAGTATTGGTTGCTAAAGAACTCATGGGGAGAATCTTGGGGAGAAAATGGTTACATGAGAATCAAGAGAGACGTGAATGAACCTCAAGGAATGTGTGGTTTGGCCCATCGTGCTTACTATCCAGTGGCTTGAATCCTTTTAGTATTGTTTCAAAATATGTGTAAATGGGTTTTGGTTCATAGTATTTGACAACACCCTTATGAATAATTATTTCAACTTTTGCAGTCATATGTCTTTTAAGTATTTTGGAGTTTATATAAGTTGAATAAAGTATGTATTACGTTGGTATAAGAAAATGTATCACATTCGTATTTGGTGATTAGATCTTAACCAAATAGGTTCAGAGGAAGACATTTTTAACAAGTAACATAACAGTATCGGAAAGTAAGACAAACAATATTCATCTCTCGCTAGTTGCTTCTCCCTAATCCCCTTACACAACACTGAACATATAAGTTGTCGATATATATGAGTTACACAGTCATTAAAAACAACAGTTTAATGTTTGAAATCTCTAAGGAGACTACTATATAATGTTTTTCTTTTGAAGTTGACGATGAGTAAAACATAAAACATTGGAAAGGAATGACAAGGGATTGCTAATTTTTACTTGACTTCTTTTCTTTGCTGCACACAACTTATTTATCTAGTGTATTTCTATTTATATACCAAATTAAAATATCTCTAAAAGTTTTATTTGCATGCAATTCTACATGTATAACGAGAACTCTCTGATAAAAATAAGATATTCGATTAACGAAGATAATTTTTACTAGAAACCTGCAACGTAGGCCAAGCAAAGGAAGCATTCCGTTGCCGTCTGCAAATAATATCTTTTAATTTCGGCCTTTTTGTATATATACTAGTAAAAAAAATACATATAGCCACTTGACAGTCGCGAAAATTCGTGGCTATAAGATGAATTTTTTGAAAACAGACACGAATTTTTTAAGCTACGATGCTATAGTCATGAATTTTAAAAAACAGCCACGAATAGAACAGTCACGAATAGCCAAGTGACTATATCGATTTTTTTACTAGTATATGTAAAAAAGTGTTGTGGTCTAGTTGTTAAAAGTTAGAGGTTGAATGTCCTATATACCGTTCTAAGAACATTGCTTTTAACTTTTTAACAACAAATTATTAACAAAAAAAAAAAAAAGTTATCGCCCCATTCTAAGGAGTAAGTCTTGAAGAGGAAAGCGAGTAATACATTAGACACAAATTATTTTAACTCAGCGTCAAGCTGTCCAAGATAGGTTTTTGGTCTGAGTTCATTTACATATGGTGGGGCTGCGTGTGAAACTCCCAACCGAAGAACATACTCAGCTAGTTTTTTTCTTAAGAAAAAACAAACAAAATAATCTCATTTAGTCAAGTCATGCGCATTGCAAACGATATGTATATATCCCAAAGTGTTTCTTGTAATATCAGTTGTCTTGATGGAATCTTCGTTCTAGGCTCTTCACACAATGCAAACAATATATTTTGGAAAAAATATCTTTGTATTTCAACTGATCTGTGTAAACATAGATTTTGTGTTTCTTGTTTTTACGTGCTTCTGTCACCTCCTTCATGTCCCTTTAATATATAACACCAAAAACCAGCGCTTGTTTTTCTCAACAAGGCAAAAATAATTATTTTCACTAGCAAGGAACATGCATGCTAACAATTTCTCCAAAATTATGAAAATATTTTTTACAATAAAGTAGCAAAATCATCGTAATATAACCACTATTAATATAAAAAATTTAAAATATAAATATTGTCTCGTGGTGTACCGCGGGTAAAATTCTAGTTTTTGTTCAAAAGAGAAACCGACCACTAATATTAAATTTTAACCAGCTGATACTCTTTGGTTCTTTGGTTCTTTTGGATAGTGCATTTATCAGCTGGTTATTTTGATGTTTTATTTAAGCTTACCCTTCCATAAATTGCATGCTAATTTGCACACATATATATATACCCCGTTTTTTTGCAGATTGCACCTATGACGGACCTAGCAAAATTAGGCGTGCAGGAAAATATAAGTAATATGATTATTGACCATTTATTTGACTTCAATTCGTAGCATGTAAATAATTTATCAAAAACCCTCGTACGACATAAAACATGTTTACTACATAATTACGTATACACGCTTCGGAATCTCTATATAAGACCAGCTTTTCATACTCGTTTCTTGGCAACAAAGTCATTTAAACCTAAACAAACACTTATAGCAATACTTTTCATATGCGTTTTACTCTCTCTAGTAGTAGTAAAATGGCTTCGGTCATTTTCTTGATTCTAGCCATTCTTTCGTGTTCAAGAACTTCGGGAGCCACCTCTCGTGGTGGGGGACTCTTTGAAGCTTCTGCCGTTGAGAAACATGAGCAGTGGATGTCTCGGTTCCATCGCGTTTACTCACACGATGCAGAGAAAGCGAGTAGGTTTGAGATCTTTAAGAAGAACTTAAAGTTCGTCGAGAGCTTCAACATGAATACGAACAAGACGTACAAGTTGGATGTCAACAAGTTCTCTGATCTCACCGACGAGGAGTTTCAGGCGAGGTACATGGGGCTGCTGGTGCCGGAAGGTAAGACCAGAACTTCCCAAGAAACGGTGTCGTTTCGATATGAAAATGTCAGTGAAACCGGTGAGAGCATGGATTGGAGACAGAAAGGGGCCGTTACAGCCGTTAAGAACCAAGGGCATTGTGGTATGTGATGTACATATTTTTATGAGTGTTTATCAAATCAATGATTATACATTATATTTACTACTATAACACTAAAAAATATATTAACCTTTTTTTCTTTATTGAAATGGAACGTACAGGATGTTGTTGGGCTTTCTCGGCAGTGGCCGCAGTGGAAGGCATTATGAAGATTGCTAAAGGAGAGCTCGTATCCTTGTCTGAGCAACAACTCGTGGATTGTAACAGAGAGAACAAAGGATGTGGCGGAGGGATTATGTGGAAAGCTTTCAACTACATTATAAACAACCAAGGAATCACCACAGAAGATAGCTATCCTTACCAAGCATCACAACAAACCTGTGACTCAACTCATTCCATTGCTGCAACCATAAGCGCTTACGAGACGGTTCCTCAAAATGACGAGGAAGCACTGCTAAAAGCGGTGTCTCAACAACCTGTTTCCGTTGCCATAGATGGGTCAGGAGCTGCGTTTAAGCATTATTCTGGCGGGATATTCGAGGATGAGGACTGTGGGACGCATCTGACTCATGCAGTAACCATTGTTGGTTATGGTACGAGTGAAGAAGGGATTAAGTATTGGTTGCTAAAGAACTCATGGGGAGAACAATGGGGAGAAGATGGTTACATGAGAATAAAGAGAGACGTAGATGCACCTGAAGGAGCCTGTGGTTTGGCCAAACTTGCTTTCTATCCACTTGCTTGATGTCTTTTTATATATGTAGATGGGTGTGTTCAGAATACTGACAAATACCCTTATCAATAAATGGCCTTTAGCAACCGCATGATATGTTTTGGAAGTTATCGTTTATAAATGTATTTTGAAAGTTATGTTATTGGTGGAAGCATGTATTACATTGGTGTAACAGATATATAAAGTTTTTACTTATAGTAATTTGATCTTCGCCAGAAGATGAAAACATAATTTGAAAATAGTAGTGCATTGTTTCATTCTGATGAACACCCACAAGGGCATCGCTGATCCATGTCTAGTACTCTATTCGTGAATCATTAGGTGATCCCAACGAAAAGCTTTTATAATTAGGATTAATTGGGTTTTTAGTACATTTTTTAAACATAATTGTAAAAGTAGTACATTTACTATTCATTATTAGCAAACTAATACATTTTTACTATTTGGATACTATTTAGACACTATTAAAAACCCGCTTAAATCTAATAACTAAAAATATTCATCAAAATATATTTATTTTCTATAAAATTTCAATTACATAAAAATATATATATTTTCTCTATAATTTGATATGCAATTTTTAAAAAATAATTTCAAATATTTTTCAAACAAATTTTGATACGTCCAGCTATCCGTATGTACAGTTGTGTGTCGATGTACGGAAAATCATCCGTACATCGGTCTATATATACGTATAATTGTATGTGTACAAATATTTTATGGTCTATATATGTATATTTGTTTATGTGTAAATATGTTTATATGTTGTTGTTTTTCTTTGTACAAATATTTGATGTACAATAATATGTTATTGTACAGTTGTCTGTATGTACAAATATATGAAATAGTAAAATTGTACTATTTTACTAATTGTGAATAGTAAATGTACTATTTTTATAATTATGTTTTAAAAACGTACTAGTTTGCCAACACACCCTTATAATTAATAGAAACGAAAAGCTTTTATAATTAAGTACTCAGATGAGTATTCACAATTCTTATTTTCCATAGATCTTGGGAGATCCCAACAGTTATAATAACATCAACCATATACACTTTACAATAATGCTACAATTAGATACTAGAATATAGTTTTTAAAAGTTTAATTTATACTATACGTACGGTTTTATCTTGACTGGGTATCATGGGACTTTGTAAATATTTTGGTTTGAAGAAGACAACTTTGGAGTCCACAACTCAAATATCTTCGGCTGATTTGATTCCATTCGAAATCACCATCATTGGATTTAATTCTCGAAAAGAACCACATACTAGCTATAATCATATATATGGTTCTTGTCTTCACCGTGACACAGAGCTGGCTGTAATATCTTGGCTCTATGAGTTACATTCACTATAATAACAACACAATGTTTGAAAATTCTTAGGAATACGACTTTAAGAGGAAAGCAAGTAATACATGAAGACACATAGAACAGCACACGTACGATTAAGCAACATATCGGCTGATAATATAAAACAGAATCTTAAGTCTTAACCTTTCAGCTAACAACACGATTAGATCTATTTTATAGGATTAAACACGTATATTTTATATAGATAAACTTGTATACATAAATCTATCCTTAACAACAATAATGATCTAAAGAATAAGGAATAAACAAAAATAATTTAACTCAGCGTCAAGCTGTCCTAGGTTTTTGGTCTGAGTTCATTTACGACACTACAAGAAATATGAGTATTGATAGCATATAGGATATCACGGTTTCTATAATTGCTATTAAAGAGGGTATATGAGATCAAAGTATTCTATTATAGCATATTAAAAATGCGAAAGAAAAAATTTAGATTTTTTATTTATTTATGAATTTTCAACTAGGCTAAGGCCACCAGTTTGGGTTCCGAATTTAATGTTTACAAATTACAGGTTTAAGGTTTAGATTTTGTTTTAGTAAATGTTCATGAGATTGAGCGAGTTAACTTAAGTATCTTTCAATTTTTAGGTTCCATCTTTTCTCTCACAAGATTTAATTCAGTCTTTATAGTCCAATACCGATATACATCTAGGCTATAGCTAAATGTTAACATACCTTCTTTAGAACAACACCAAAGACATGTAAACAAAGCAACTTTATTTATTTATTAATAAAGTGTTGTCGTGCCTTTTCTTCCTCTTCACTGTCATTGTAAATATTGCAATGAGCTCGTGGATCACTAGAATCATATTTGTTACTCGTAGGTTTACCAAGTTCTTCAACGGTTTTACAAATGGATGGATTATTTTCTCAACATATCTTTGGATGGATATCACAAACATACACAAATTTTGCTCATGATAAAAAAGAGAGAGTTTAAAATATCTAATGAAACAGCTTACAACAATTATCGATTATGTTTCGAGTTTCCTCAAAGACATAAATCAACCAAAATACAGTACACAAATATCAATAATAGTCATACAATAGTAAAGGAACAAATGTTGCTTACACGAATGGATTGATATAAGCACAACAACGCTCATTATAAAGTCCTATGAACTGCCCAACACTTCCATAAGCTTCACATCTTCTACATGGTCCATGAAAGTCTGAACCTTCATCAGATCATCGGCATCACGAACAACAACTCCTAACTGGACTTCAGCCTTTCCGACTGTGTTTTTCACCACATTGTAATACACAATGAAGAAAGGATCATTATCCAAATACTCTGGGGCGAACACGATATCACCTGCACCACTCATCCCCACAACATTCATCTCCTTATGTTTCCCAACCAGATTCTTCCAGGAAGACGGCAACTTGTAGACATGCTTCGACCATTTCTCGTTCTCCATATCATCTAGAATCCACAGCTCAAATCTTGTAGTTTCACTGAAAAAGATAGTCTCATAAGGGAGAACGGCAGCTAACTTACCTTTGACATCTATAAGAGTTGACCTCCAAAGCATAATGTCCACATCAAGAAAGGTGAACTTCTCTAACGACATATCAAAACAAACTAGCATAATAGGTTTAAGACATCTAGGGTCATTGCGCACAGCTATATAGTACATAAACCCATTGATGCATATTCCATTAGATAAAGACGAATGGGCTACGGAACTTTCAACTATTCTCCACGACAGTTCTCCCCTTCCTAATGTCATAACTCGATAGTCGTCCTTGGACTTGCGCAATACCTTGAACAGTTTACGGACCGGCTCATATCCAAAGTAGACATTCACAGTACCTCCTCCTGATGCAATCTTCATCTTGGGTAAAGTGATGCACTGCCCAGTGCTTGTGTTACAGATCGATGGATTCATATCCAAACTACAGACCAATCCGCAGACAGGACGTGAAACACCACAAGAAGCATCTTCAGTGGGGAAACTCATGCGACGATCGGCAACTAAAACAGACGAGCTGATCTGGTCCTGAGGTGCGGAGAGGAAGAGACACTTACCGTTGACTTTGAGGTTGAACAAGAGACAGGGACGAGTCGATGATGTTTTCAGGTACAAGTCGGTGAAATCTCGACGGCGGAGAATGTAAGACCATTGCTTGGAGACGCAACGGCACCTTCCGATGGATTTCACGGGCAATCTCGAGAATACTGAGATGAGGAGATCAATTGGTATAGACCTTTCGGAGATGCTTAGGGGATTCATCTTGGGGACTTGATTCTCTTGTGCCTCCATGACGGCACATGAGCTCTAGAATCACACTAGGACAACAATATCTATTTGCCCTAATTTTTATGTATGGCTGTCAGAAGAAACAAAGGGCAAAATCAGACAAAAAGACAAAAAAGATAAAAAATCATTTTGAGATAACTCTCTCCACTCATCTCCACCGTTTATTTTCTAAGTCACCGATTCTGTTTTTAGCCATACAAAATTTTGTTTTCCTTACTTAAAGAAAGAGTAACAGTTTTTTAAAATGGGCCATTATATATTTAAATTATTATCTGCCCAAAACATTTGTTCTCTTATTGTTGTTTGAAATATAAATGTTTCAATTTTATGGGTTACATACTGAAACCAATAAAATATTTGAGGGTGTATATATACTTATCTACTTTCAGTTTTTTAATTAACTTGAATCGAGAATTACATAGTTATCAACGAGCATACAAATACTGATATACACCCAATATATACAATAGAAATAAGATAATCAAAACAAGAAAAAGGAAATATTGTACTTATGAAATAAATTAGGAGAAAATAAAACAGTAGCATTGATCTGAAGTTTTTATGAAATTTAAAATAACAGCTTATTACATAATAAGATTCACATTCTCGACATGGTTTAAGAAGGTGTAAATGCTTTGACCTCTAACAGGGCCAAGCCCTTGAATTTGAACTTTTTTGATAGAGTTCCTCTCCATATCCAAGTGAAATATGTAGAACGGATCAGACAAGACGTTCGGAGCAAACACAACTTCAGTGGTTCCATTAATTATCCCAACAATGCAAACTTCAGTCTCCGCAACTAGCTCCTTCCACCTAGGCGGCAATATGTGAACAAGTTTTGACAATTTATGTTCTTCAGTGTCTTCTATAACCCATAACTCAAAGCTTTCAGCTGTTCCATCAATGAAAGTGGTTGGGCTACAACGGATTCCTCCTAATTTACCCTTGTAATTTATCAAAGTTGTCGGAAACCCAAAATCATTGTTCTTGATAAAGTTGAACTTCTCCTGCTTAACATTAAAGCAAACTAACATATTGTTATACTCCGTATCTCTAGCTGAGTAATATAGCATCCCATCGATGCAAATCTCCCTACGAAGAGGTATGTGGTCTACAGAACACTCAAGCATTCTCCATTGTAGGTTGCCCGTTCCTACCGTGAGAACTTGATACTCTTCCGCTTTATACAAAAAGGGCCTTCTACAAATTGTCATGCACAATACCTTA